GCACTAGAATTCTTAACTTATTATTAAATAATTTAATGATACTGATACACTGGGTGTTGCTGGTTCGAAGTTTACTTCGAAAATTATTATTTGGTTTTTTCCTTCATTTACGGCATATTCTGCGATAGTGACGCCGATAGTTGGATTTTCTTGATTGGTGTGTATAGTGTTATCCTCGTCATCTGGTCTTCATTTCTTTCTTCGCATTCAACTATGAGTGATTCTTTTTCTATATCATTTTTTGGAGTATTAAGAAGTTCTTCGTCAAAATTTATTACATAATCAATTTCTTCTTCGGTATTTAGTTGTGCATCATTTGTTTCATTTACGTTTAATTCTATTCTGAATAGAAAATCACTATTAGGGTCTAATGCACCCTTTTTGTATATGATATTGTAATCATATTCCTCCAATTTAAGGCGCCATCTCACTAATTTGGAGTTAGGGTCCTTTAAAGAAAAATAGCCACTGTAATGGCTTATGGTCAGTTACAATTGTAAACTTACGACCAAAAAGATAAGGGCGAAAGTATTTTGCTGCCCAAACAATTGCAAGAAGTTCCTTCTCAATTGTTGAGTAGTTGGTTTTGCTTTTATTTAGAGTTCGACTAGCAAACGCTATAGGTAAATCAGATCCGATTTTTCCTTGGCTCAATACAGCTCCTAATGCAAAGTTGCTTGCATCTGTGGTTAAGTTAAATGGTTTAGAAAAATCAGGATACTGCAGTATTGGGTCATTAATAAGATTTTTACACATTTCAAAGCACTGAAAATAATCTGAATGATTTACATTTATTATTGCATCTTTTTTTAGACGAGAAGTTAAAGGCTTAGTTAATTTTGAAAAATCTTTTATAAACTTTCCATAGTATCCCAATAATCCTAAGAAACCTTTTAGTTGTTTAGTATTTTTTGGAATGGGAAAGTTCACTATAGCTTTAATTTTGTCTGGATTGGGTTTTACGCCATCTGGTGTAACAATGTGTCCCAGATATGCAACCTCTTTTCTTAAAAATTCTGATTTATCAAACTGAATTTTAAAATTTGACTCTCTTAGTCTTTTAAAAACTTCTTTTAGATTTGTAAGGTGTTCTTGGAGACTAGTACTAAACACTATAATATCGTCTAAGTACATAAGACACTTTTCATTTTGTATTCCTCGAAGTATATTATCCTCGAAGTATATTATTCTTAGGAAGGTCGCCGGGGCGTTACGCAATCCAAAGGGCATTCTAAGGAATTCGTAGTGACCGTTTTCGGTGTTAAAAGCTGTTTTAGGTTAAAAAATCCCGAAACAAGATCTAAAGTTGTGAAATACTGACAACGACCTTAGTTTGTCAAGTAAATCGGAAATATTAAGTAGGGGATATCGATCTCCTAAACTAATTTCGTTTAATTTTCTATAGTCAACTACGATCCTATATTTAGGTACTTGGGAGTTGTCCAACTTTTTTGGAACTACCCAAATTGGAGCTGACCAGCATACTTTGAATCTGATTCTGTACCTCTTTTCTATAGATTTCAGGATATCTATAGGACTTCGAGTAAATAGGTATATCGTTAACTGTTTTAATATTATGTTTTACTTTATTAGTAAAGGATAGCATATTGCCTGTTACATGAAATATATCTGAAAATTCTTTGATTAGCTTTAATATTTTTCTCAATTTTGGTATATGGGATTATTACATCACCATTATTGACATTTTTTATGTCTACCGAAATTATTTGTTCGGTTCTAGGAGGCACTACTATGCAATTCAAGCTTTCCTTGTTGATATTGTGATAAAAAATTTTAATTTGACTATTTTTTGTAATTAAAACATTATTTAGATACAGGACTACATGATTAAAACATACGAAGAGGACAAACTAATGGAAATTTGGTGAAGTAATCTACAACTACCAAGCAATATGTATTACCTAAATAACTACGTGGATACGGTCCAATAAGGTCTAAAGAGATCATTAGCCAAGGAAAATTAATGTTCCTAAACGAACCCATTAATCCAGCTTGAGGTAGGTTACTCGGCTTGCATGTTGCACAAACTCTACATCTAGAGATGTATTTCTTAACTGAGTTGCGCAGACCAGGCCAGTAATATAACTCAGCTATTTTACTAAATGTTTTATAAAAACCAAAATGACCTAATGTCACATCATCATGAAAAGTTCTCAAGACTTCATCCCTATTTGCTGTTGGGACTACTATTTTCCAATCAGACATATTCGATAAAGATTCAACTGGACTGATTACATGTTTATAAAGGATATTATTCTCCACCTTGAAAACAGGATATCTGGTAGGTTCTTGGGTGACATTATGAATCATCTTTCGATACCAATTATCTGGAGATAAAGTGGACAGATCTAAAAGATTGATATCGAATGTACGTGACAACGCGTCTGCAACCACAACAACATTGGCTTTGCGATTAACAATATTATAATCAAAGACAGAAAGCCTACAAATCCAACGGGACAAACGTTGTGACGGATTTTTCATGGAATGTAACCATAATAAAGAACTATGATCTGTGATGATAGTAAACTTAAGACCCTCAAGATAGTACCGAAAGGCATCAAGACCATGGATAATTGCAAGAAGTTCTCTCTTTGTGGTGGAATAATTTTTTTGTGCTTTATTAAGCTTTTTGCTGGTATAAGCTATTGGATAAACTCTAAATCATACCTCTTCATAAGAAAGGTTCAACAAATAATTGTAACAACTACAGGCTATTAGCTCTAATATCACACGCCAGTAAGGTGATCCTCTACATACTGCAACGGCGTCTAGAAAACTTCATAAGTTGGCAAATAGCACCTGAGCAGGCTGGATTTGTAAAGAGCAGAGGTACTAGAGAACAAATCCTTAATGTACGAAACATCATAGAAGAAGCCAGAGAATACCAGATCCCGATATTTATATGTTAGATGGGACAAACTATGGAACATATTGACGACAATGGGTGTACCTAAACACTTGACTCACTTTATTAGCAAACTGTATCAAGATAACCTGGCATATATTCGAATGGACGGATATATGTCTGACAAATGCACTTTGGAGAAGGGAGTACGCCAAGGATGCGTTTTATCTCCCTTATTATTTAACATCTATTCGGAGTTCATAATGCGCAGAGATTTGGATGGTTGGGAGGGAGGAGTAAACCTAGGTGGTGTTAAGATATCTAACTTGCGTTTCGCAGACTACACTACACTTCTAGCCTCTACTCCAGAAGAAATTACTAAATTATTAAAAAAACTCGAGGTAGAAAGTGCTAAATTTGGACTCATGGTTAACTACAACAAAACCAAAATTATGGTTATTGATCGCTAACAACAGTTTCCTGAAACCCAAACTTTTGCGGGATGCGAGGTAGTCTAATCTATGATATATCTTGGAGCTCTAGTTAACAACACAGGCAGTTGTGAATCCGAAATTAGAAGACGCATTCAACTAGCAAGAGCAGCAATGAGTGAACTAAACGGGGTCTGGCGTGATCGTCACATTACTATGACAAACAAAAAGAGACTCGTTTCAACTCTGGTCTTTTCCATATTTTACTATGCATGCGAGACATGGACAGTCAAAGAATCAGATCGACGACGTATAGACGCCTTTGAAATGTGGATCAGCGTCTCTCCAGTACCGTTTACTCTAGAATTTTAAAGTTCTTTGGCCATATCCATCGAAGTGATCACAAAATGGAGCGGTTGGTGGTCCAAGGAAGGCCTCAGACTCAACGCCAACGCGGAAGATCTCCACAGCGATGGGCGGACATTACTAAAAAGCTTCTCAATAAACAGTATACTGAGCCAATACATATAACTGATGACCGCGACCAGTGGAGAAATATTATCAATCAAACTGTCCGAGCTGCTGAAGCCCAATTATGAACCACAACACATCTACTAAGATGTTAATGACTGTGATGATGATGAAGCTATTGGATGTTCCGAACCATCCTTCATTTGAAATAGTACACCACCTGAAGCAGTGTTGGAACAATCTGTCATGAGATAGAAATGCTCTTTAAAATTCGGAGATTTCATGACACGTGCACTAGTAAGAGCTTCTTTTATACGCCGGAAAGCATCATCGGCTTCTGAAGTCCATGTAATAGTTTGGCCTTTTTTCCGATGTTTAAGGAGATCTGTAAGTGGGGACAACAAAATAGAATAAGACGGCACAAACCGACGATAATATCCACACATGCCTAATATCCTACGAACTATCATATCCTAAAAATTTAAGACTAGGACGACAAAACTGACATTTATTTAAATTAATAGTTAAATTAGCCTCTTTGAGACGTAAAAACAACTTATCCAAAATTTCCATATGAAGAGAAAAATCAGGAGTGACAACCAAAATGTCATCCAAATAATAAAAAACATAGAGCTCTAACTGAGGACCAAGGACTCAATGACTGAAGTCCATGTTGGGTTATCTCGATGTTAGCGGCATGTATAAATCTAAGGGACAAAATGCCTTGGTCGAACATGGAAGATGCCATAGCGACGGCGGGCATCAAGATGATGTTCCAGGCCAAGTCGATTGATGATATTAAGAATGACATGAACAATGACGCCAGATACAAGAAATTCTTGGAGCAGTGGAGGAGGAAGTCACATGAATTCAACCACTCATATTTAGTATTCATATACACTTGTATAATCCTAACATCTATGACAAAATCCCTAACAGATGTGAACTATGAGGGCTGGTTTACCAACAGGGTTAAAGGATTCTCTGGGACCTTGGGCGACACATTCACGCCAGAAAACTCAACATTGAGCACTTATCCGGACCTTCCCAAATTACAGCAATTGCAGCGTTTTATGGGGGCAAATCATCGTGTAAGGAAGGAATTCTTCAAAGAACTTATTGCCTTGTGCAGGAGAAGTCGCAACTTCATCTCAAAAGGGTTATCAGAGGTCTTGTTCATTAACCGTTCCCTTGAAATGCATCACCTCTTCCTAATCGACAAATACATAATGCAAGAGCACCCGGAGTTTTTGCATATGATGTTTTTGAGAGGATTGAAGGATAGATTTGCACGCGCTGTGAAATTACTCGGTACTTTGGATCCGTCTGTAGTACATTATGCCAAGTTATTATTGGATAAAAATGACACTCAGGCACTCAATCGTGCCAATTTTAAAGAGGCAATAGTAGTGGCAACACACATTGGACAACATACTAGTACAACTTTCAAAAACTACTTCCGTACGGAGAATTCGGCTCATGACATATTAAGAGATAGATATCGCAGATAAATACTTTGCAACACGTAATAGGTTGGCCCAAATGAGTCTAGGAGAAAGTGTCCAATCTCCGATGGGTCCTAAAGAGTCTGCACAATTCTTTAAGATGACATTATTAGACATCGAAAAAGACTGCACAGCACAAGCTACTACTGCTAGCTCTAAAGTTAAACTATTACTACCTCTAGGGGATATTCAACTTACAGAAAAGATATGATACTACAAAATTCTGCTATTGTTCTCCAACACATTCAATATACATAAGTATCAACTAATATTTAGAAAAAATCAAAAAATGATTGGATATTAGCGTATTTAAGGAATAGAACTACGAAGGAACACCAGGCGGGGGCTGGAATGAAAAACAGATTCAAACACGAACTTATATTTAATACTAAGCTTAAATAGCAATTTCTGAAATCTGTCCGAAACGGAAACGCTGTGATATGCGATATTTCAACTAAACTTTCCACTTTTCACTGGCGCTATTTTCACTATTATATATAACTAATTACAAGTAGAATTGTGTAGCGGAATGTCGGTTCTATGTTAACATACTACGGCAACACTGGCGGTTTGAATATCTGAACTGTTTTTATATAAAAACTATACTGCGGATTGAATAAACACTGAGTACTATAAATGATTGACTTATAATCTTAACGAATAGTATTGCGATGCGAACTATTTAGTTATAAATACATATACTATATTAATAAGCGAATTTGCGAGCTAGCGACTTTAGCTTACGAGATTTTGCGGCCGACTGTGTTAACAGCTTGGTTTGAACTGACTGATGATATCTAAATTATGTAGGCAGGTAGCGCAGGGTTCCTACCCCATAAAGGTACCGTTAAATATCTTCAGTTATTTATTCTAAGAAGGCTTTTAGCCTTCTTAGGGCGAATATAGACATGGGAAAAATTAATCTCAAGTAAAATAGAATTTCACCATTCTGGGGGGCGGCGGCGAACAAATAGGCTAACAACTAAATATCTAACTAAACCTAAGTTATATACAAGAACAGTCTATTGTCTAACAACTAACTTTATCGCCTATAGGTAAAACGATAATTTTGGTGATAGAACGCGAATATTCGCCATCAGCAGTTTTTAACCGTACAACTCTTACTTTACCGTCTTTGCCCGGTATAGTGGCAATCACTCGTCCAAGAGTCCAGCGCAATGGAATTGAGTCCTCACTCTTCACTAAGACTAAATCAGTGTCTTGAATATTAGGCAATGGACGTAGCCATTTGGGACGATTTTGCAAATTATTAAGATAATCGACTGACCAACGCTTCCAAAAGGATTGTTGGATTTGCTGGCATTGTTGCCAAGCAGTTAGTCGATTAGTATTTGTACAAGTTAAATCGAAATTAGGATATGCAGTCAAAGAACTACCTATTAAAAAATGTCCTGGGGTTAGCGGCTGCAGATCATTAGGATCATTTGACAGCGGATATAGTGGGCGAGAATTCAACACAGCTTCTATCTGAGTTAGAATGGTATACATCTCTTCGAATGTGAACCGTGAGTTTCCAACCAAGCGAACTAAATGATATTTAGCACTCTTAAGAGCAGATTCCCACAATCCACCCCACTGGGGAGAGCGGGGAGGAATAAACTTCCAACGTATTTCGTTTTGGGCTAAATAGGAGCGTATGCTATCGAAATTTGATTGAGACTTGAAAAAGTCATATAAGTCACGAAGCTGATTATTAGCGCCAACGAAATTGGTTCCGTTATCACTAAAAATTATTTGCGGATTTCCTCGCCGTAAAATAAAACGTTTGAGAGATGCTAGAAATGAATTAGTGGTCAGATCACTGACCAATTCAATGTGTATGGCTTTGGTGGCCATGCAGACAAACATGGCAATATAACATTTTAAATTTGGAGCTTTGCGTAACCGGGAAGAACGAATATATAGGGGTCCAGCAAAGTCTACACCGGTTTTACTAAAAACACGAGTATTCTGTACCCTGTCTATAGGAAGCGGAGCCATAATTTGAGAAGCAGTATGTGCATTAAAGCGGTAGCACGTTAAACACTGCTTTATAATTCTTTTAACTTGTTTTAGGCTGCTATCGTAGTCTTAAATTTCCGAGAACATTTTGGGGACCAGTATGTCCCAGTCGGCAATGTTCTCTTTTTATTAAGAGAGAAACTACATGATTATTATCGGGCAATAGAATTGAAAATTTTTGACTGTCATCAATCGATGCATTCTGAAGTCTACCACCCACTCTTAAAATACCAGTTTGGTCGATGAAGGGATTAAGCGATAGCAATTGTTTGTTATCTATAGGTTTATTGCTTGTTAAAAGTAAAAATTCTTTAAAAAAGTTTTCTGACTGAACTTGGCGTACGATGAACATATGCGCATGCGAGAGTTCTTCGACAGTTAAAGGACCTAACTTTTTTTGTTTGTTTATTTTTTAAATTATAAATGAATCGAAAAACATATGCTACTGAATTTTGTAGCTTGGAAAATTTTGAAAAGCGTGCGAACATTATTGTCCACCAGTTCTCTACCTTATCTAAGATAACAAGAGAAATCTTTTTGATTTCGGGTAGATTTTTAACAGGGGAAAACGTATTAAAATTATCGAAATCAAAACTATACATTCGCAGGAACTCAGGGCCATGTAACCAAAAATCTAGCATTTTTTCGTCGAAATTGCCGCGAGTTAGCATATCAGCAGGATTCGAATGAGACCGAATATGTCTCCACCTAGAAAACATACTTAAGCTTTGAATTGTAGAGACGCGATTGGCTACAAATGTCATATAAGTGTTTGCGGGATTTTTTATCCAACTAATCGCAATCTGTGAGTCGGACCAATAACTTATCGTATCGATTGTAAGGCGTTCGTTTAAAATAGATAACATTTGATGAACTAGTTTGGAAAGGAGTTCCATTGCACATAATTCCAACTTCGGAATAGTAAGTTTATTTTTGAGCGGAGCAACACGAGACTTAGCGGTAATTAAATTAATAGACAATGACTTGTCACTATATTGGGCGACAAGATAGATGCAAGCCCCAAAAGCAGTTAGGCTTGCATCACAGAAGCCGTGGATATCAATTTTTGTGATTTATTTGTTTGCAAAAATAAAACGAGGTATTTCAATATTATTTACTTTAGCGAGGGTAGTTAAGAACGTTTTCCATTTTTTAAATATCACTGGATCAGTGATTGGGTCAGCCAATTAACTTTTAGTTTCCATAGTTCTTGCATGAGTAGAAAGTGCTGTGAAAGTGGCGAATGCCACAGATGTCATCCGTACCCTTAGGAGCACAAAGGATGGAAAACTGCTCACCATGGATAAGGACCAGGGTGCTCTGAAGCAAATTAAAGCTGCTCTAACGGACAAAAATAAGGGCATGACCACCCTGCAGCTAGGTGTGGAGAGGCTGGTGACTATCCATGTCAAAGGAATGGAGCTAGACACCACAGAAGATCAGCTAAGAGAAGCTATTATGGCGCAGACTGGCTCATGGGATGAATCCTGGAAGGTCTCAGAAATGAGACCTTTCAGAGGCGATACGCAGGCAGCTTCAGTTATATTGTCTAAGAGAGCTGCGAAGATTCTCCTCCAGAGAGAGTACCTGCGAGTTGGCATGGTACGCTGCAAATTAGAAAAACGGCTGAGGGTGCCTAGATGTCTCAGGTGTTGGTCCTTCGATCACACAGAAGATAACTGTAACGGGCCGGACAGGAGTGGGTCCTGTTTTAACTGCGGTAAAACGGCACACGAATCTAAATCATGTCAGTCGACGGCTAGTTGCGTCCTCTGTGATGCACTTCACAGATGTAGCACCCCGAACTGCCCTAAGTTCAGGACTGCACTTCGAATAATTCGGAATTCTGAGAAGAATCAAGTCCAAGCACCACGAGCGGTGGAGCAATCGCCGGACCCAGTTACGGAAACCCCTAGTTCCTAAGACCTTAAAAAAAAAGGATAGGATTTTGAAATGGCTGCACAAGGGACAAAAAGACTAAAGATACTCCAAGTTAACATCGGGAGGGCGAAAATGGCACACCAACTGATATATGCAAAAGCTCTCGAGATTGGAGCAGACCTACTTGTTGTCCCTGAGCCCAACAAAAACATTACTACAAACAAAGGCTGAATAGCGGATATAAACGCAGATGTCGCTGTATACATAAAGACTAAGAAAATATGCATAAATAAGATTGTCAAGAAAGAGGGGCACGTGTTAATTAAAATAGGAAGCCTGGTTATTATTGCCTGCTATATCTCTCCGAATATCAGCCTGATGTGCTACAAAGAACAGGTCGAGAATATCATAATGACATCACAAACATATCGGGATTTTATTCTTGCTGGCGACGTGAACGCCAAATCAATCATATCGGGGTCTTCCAGAAATGATCATAGAGGGGAGATGTGAAATGATTGGATATTCGCAAATGACCTAGTAGTGCTAAATAATGGAAAACCCACATTTGTGAGAGGTGAGAGTCGAAGTCACATAGATATTACCCTTGTGAATGAAAGTTATGCTAGAAAGATTGCGGGCTGGGAGGTGTTGGAGGATAATCTCTACACTTTTCACAGATACATAGTCTTTGAAACTGGCATCAAGGTCTCGAAAATCGGCCGGAAAAAAGTAACCTTCAATAAAGAAGCTTATACGAGGCAGATAAGTAACCTACGAGAAGACGACATTAGCGAATTCCAAGATTTCAAACAGAAAATTATTAATGCATACACTTCAAGGAGCTCCACCAAAAACGTCACGTATACAGTGCCATACTGGTGGAACGATGAGATCCAGAGCAAGAGAGCCGAATGTTTTAGACTCAGGCGTACGGCACAAAGGTGTAGGACTCCACAACACACTGAAAATTACAAGCGAGCTAAAAAAGAATTGGGTAGAGAAATTAAACGGGCGAAGCACTCCTGCTGGCATAACCTATGCACAGCACTAGAAGACGATGTATGGGGCGAAGCTTATAGAATTGCCACAAAAACATTAAG